ACGACCACGACCACGACCACGACCACGACCACGACCACGACCACGACGACCACCACGACGACGACGACGACGACGACCACCACGACGACGACGACGACGGTTTAACAAAAACATCAATCTAGCTTCTTGTCCGGTGCAATTCTTTTCCAACAGTAGCACTGCAGAAGACTAATTGCTGTAAAGCAAAGTCTGAAGTGTCAGAGACGATCTCTGAAACCAAGTGAATCGTTTGATCAAAATTCAAGGGAATCCCAGAACCACTGCAATAGGCATTAGGCTCATCCCCATGCCAGCCTTGGATTTGGAAAGAATTCAAAAACAATGACTCACCTAACTCGATCAAATCTTCAAGTCTTGATTTGCCCTCTCAAAAAATCCTGAGTTGTACACATCAAACCCCCTCTCTTCCTCGATGTTCCCTAGTTATTAACACGTTTGTTGCCGGCATTCCCCGAGTTCCTCAGAGGCGCATTTCTTCTCGTCGGCACCGCAGGTCACAGGGCAGCCCTCGTCCTTGAAGATGCAGCCGGTGCCAGGGCAACGCTCGGCCTCCTTGCCGCCTGTGACCAATCAGCGACGACTGTGAGGTCATCGAAACACCAAGTGACTCAGCTGGTGGAGAGGACCAAGTGGGGATCCCAGCTCCAAGTGTCCTGGATTGAAGGCAGCACCTCTGAATGAGGTGCTGGGATTCCAGTTACAGGTGCACCGAAAAGTGAGGATCCCAGCTGAAAAATGTTTGCAATGGAGTTGATAAGGATTCTTCGGGTGCTGACAACAACTTTTGAGCTGGGCCATTGCCTGAGGAGGGAGAGCCTCACGAAATCGTCGAGAGCCGAGAGCCTCAAACCAACCCTTCCATCTGAGTTCCGCACAGGGGCACTTGTCATGGCTTTTGGCGCACTTCACAGAAGGCGTCACAAAGCCTGAGCGGGTTACAGCCAATCCCGTTGGACAAAAGCCAAGCCCATCGACTCCCGACCTGGAATAGCTGAAGTCATGAACTCCTGCCTCTTGGTTTTCGGTACATTTCCGTGCATCATCAACTCATGGCGTTCAAAATGAAAGAACCAGGGGTTCCAGGAGCGTCCAGGTCGACCTTGAGTCTGCATGACTAGCTGGTCTTTTTGGGCCGTCGCAGTGAGGATTTGTTGGATGGACCCAGGACATCCGCCAGCAACCCGGGGGCCACGAACGACAGCTTTGGAGAAGAACGACAGCTCTGTTGATAGCAGTTTCGGATTAGACTGATTAGACTTGCACTTGTCACTTGCCTTCACCTCCCTCCCAAGCCCTAGCATGGTGGAAACACAGTAGTCCAATGCAAATTCTATGTTCTTTTCATGGCCGGTCGAACACTGAAATGCATGCGCTAACCAACTAGCTTGACTGTACTGTATGTCACCTTGCAAATGTCCTCTTCCAAATCCGGTCTGCCCACGGCGGTTGACCCAGTGCACGAGGCGAATTGACATGTACAAATCACACTTCAACCGAACCAAGTATGTCCACCAGAGCACCAAACACTTGAGACATGGGGATAGACAAACATACAATGTTTCTGATGACTTTGAGACATGGGCATCACCCAAACCTACAAACTCTTCCTGGCTCTTTGTGAAGCGTCAGGCCGAGCCTCTTCGCCAACTGGTCTCCCAGTCACAGTCATCCGCCAGTCGTCCCGCCACATCGTCCAAATCGCAAGAAGTCTACTGCCAGGTCACCCAAAGAGGTGCCATTCGGCAAGTAGTCTTCCACCAGATCGCAGGCCACCTCTCCCTCCAATGAACGTGCGCGGACACCCGACAGGTCCCGGGCCCCATGTCCCAAAAGAACGGTTGAAGGCGGTTGCGGCACGTGTTTTCATTTCGCGGGTGTGATGATTAAGGGAGGCCCAAAGAAAAAGGGAGCAGGAATCACAATTAAACAGTTTATGGTTGATTCTTTCTCTCTGCAATATATGTTTTTTCTACTTAGATTGTTAATCCTTGCCATCCAAAGATTCATGCCATCATTCTATATGTATAGAATTCATTCCAATTATAGTTATAATTCAACTCCAGTCACAAGTGTTCCTGGTGCAAAACCCGATGTTCACGTCAACTCTCACATCAAAAGGCTCTCAAGGAGTTCCGATCCGTGTCCGTATTCTCCAAGAACCCAAAAGCAAGGAACTATGTCAGTTTCCATCCATTGGATGCTGACATGCATTGATCCGTGCAATTTCTGAACATCTGCTCAAACACATTCAGACCCAACAAGACCTTTCTCGGCAGGGCGAACGCGCCACTCCCCCCTCAAATCCACCCCAAGCAGCGTCCTGAACCACGCGTGCAGTAGACCAAACGCGGAACGCGCATTCTACACACGCGCGACGAGCAGTCAGCGGGTGCGGCCAGCGCCTGGGGGCAGTCAGAAGGGCAGTAAGAGCCAGGGCCGCTGGTAGGCAAGCATTCAGTCCATGAGCCCCACGTCCTGAAGTTTCAGGCAGCAGTTTCAGGCAAGGACAACTCCAGCTGACTGCATCAAGGAGTTTGTTCATGGCATCAAAAAGGATTTGTTACCCTATGGATCCACATACCTTCTGAGAAGGTGATTGGACCCTCCAAGTTAATCGTGTGTTGTCTTATGCTTCTTTGGAGGACTTTTGCAACACCGACTTGGCAAATGTGGCAGTGGGGCAACAAAACCGCTGAGCCTGAAGACGCGACCCTGAAGGAAGGAAGTTGAAAGAACCCCGGGGGCCATTAGATCTTAGTACTCTTGGTGTTGGGGTAGTCGTAGTCCATTCAAACAAACCCCCTGGAATTTGTTAAGGGTACTTTAGGGGTCTTACAGTAGTTTTACACTACAATACTGAAGGCTAGGGAAACTTGAAATGATTGTTATTTTGACTCCATAATGTTGCACATTCCGACAATTTTCCCCGATCATTTCACCTCACAAGTGGGATGCCTGATGCCTGGGGGTCGACGCAGGGAGGTGAGACATGTGGCGAATGCGGGGTATGAAGCAAATCTCTGGAAAGGAGATTCAGACTGCTTTTCAGATCTTGTCAGGTTCAAACTGGTCCTTCCTCCTCCACGCGAAGAGGCTAGACAAGAGATTAGACTATTGGAGGAAGGAACGTCAGACTGGGACTGGTGGCACCTGGCGGTGATGCAAGACATTCCAAAAGCAAGTGCTGTAAAGAATCATTGCCATTCATTGCCCGGCACAAAGGGGTAAGACAACATGAAGACGGTGACAAAACAAAATAGAAGCAAGCTTTGGCGAAAGTCCCGGATCTTACAGCCTCACATGAAACCCATTAGCTATGACAGAAGTGCAGGATCACCGAGAGGTGATTTTAGTGTCATAAATATCTTAAAGGGTCTTAGATTGCAATCAACATGCATGATGCAAGCATGGAACAACATCAATTAATCAAACCAAACATCTGACCATCCCACACAGGAATGGAACAACAGTCCACCACAAAATCTTCCAAAGCACCACAGAGAAACAAACATCAAACTAGGGAGACCCCGCCTACGCCGCCCCGTCTCGAGTCCTCTCGGTCATCCCCAAACCCTTCGACTGAACGGCCGGTCATCTCACCTCGTGTTCCACCGGCGGGGCCGGGCCACACCCGGCCACCGGCCTCCCGCTCTCCACCGTACCTTCCCGCCAGGGGCCGAGCGTCGGATCGTTCCAGGTACATGCAAAGGCATTCTGACCCTTCGAGCAATCGCCTCAGGGCATGTGGAAGCGAACGACACGGAGAGTGTGGGCAAAAACACCGAACTGACCTGTATCACCATGTATCACTCAGATCTGACTCCAGGTCAAGAACGTCTCGCCGCGACCATTTCTATAGAACCTCCATGGTGTCCAAAGGCCCTGAACTCCTCCGAGCGTCGAAAATAGACCAACATGCAGGAGAGGGGATGTAAGAACATCAAACAAGCTACTATATGACAGTCCCTGACAGTATCCGGAAGTTACACAAGGAAAAAAAACCCTTGGGCGTCAGAACTCAAAATGCTGCCAAGCACAGCAAGTAAAGCATCTTCTATATGTCTATATGGTTTGACCGTCATAAGTCTTGATAGCTTTATGATCTTTATGGTTGAACATCATACCAGGTGTCTTTAGTCCAACCAATGTGGACCGTTGACTCCACGGGCCGCATTCGGCCTCCCTCCAAGCCACACGGCGTGCCTTGTGGAACGCACATCTCCTGAGGCGAGCCATGCGCAGGCTGCAAAGCCATGTGCAGTGCGAATGAGTTCCACGAATTGAATCAAATGTCTGAGGAATTTCTGCTGACAAAGAAACCATGGTCACTGACACAAGACATGGTTCGGGTGACGAGCGTGCCACACACCATGGTTTCCTACGGTCAGAGTCGTTCCACTTGCAAACACCGCTGAAAAATATCTGAACATCCTCTTGGTATACTTAGTGGATGACACTGAGGGAGCGAGACCTACAGAATACCAAGAGTGGGAGTGCGGCTCAGTTTCCGCAAAGCAGAAAGCACCACTCTGACTGTCCAATCCACGGTCTGGGTTATGTTGTATCACTTCTCAAGGATAGATCGGTTGGAAGTGTTTGTTTGGTTCAGACTAGTGTCCTCTTGATCACATCCTGAAATCCAAAGCAGTGACCTTTCAAGCTATCTTTAAGGGTTGAGAGCACGCTGAAACGGCAACTTCTTTGAGGGAGAGCAGTGCATCTCATTGAATCTCCCACACAAAACGGTTGGAACCACATTCTCTGTCTTGGCTTTCACAGGAAAATCACACCGTTCTGAACGCATTCTGATGCGAACAAACGCCCCGGATCAAAACACTAAGAACAACAAAAACACAACATGTTACGTGGCTTCCATGGCATCAATGTGGCGCAAACTAGTCTGATTTCTTTCTGCAGGACTCTGCTAAAGGTTGACTCATACCCAAATGTAGACTCTTGATTAATACAACCTCAGCCGCATCTGGATGGTACAGTAACACCTCGTCGATTCATCTGGGAGGTTTTGTTATTAATCAAGTGGAAACAGCGAACAACCACGTGTGTGTGCGGCAAACCAAAGAGCTCCATGTCGCCTGCACACGATCCAGCTGATCCCTCCACACGATCCATCTCTTGATCTCAGGAGCAGTGAAGGAGATCCAATCGCCCCGGGCATCGTAGCTGGGGATGTAGCAGTAATCCTCGTTGTCCTTGCCTGGGACGTGGAATGTTTCTTCGTATGTTGATTCAGTTGGCTTTGTGTTTAGGTCTTTGCGCCCTAAGTCTTCAACATTCTCCAACTAATGATATCCTGCGCAGTTAGACTACGTCCAAAGTCTACCTGCACTTTTCCACCTTCGAGAAGGAACTAAACATGTGTTGGAAAGCAGCTCAAATCAAGGCTTTGGCCTTATAGTGATGTTTTTAATTTATTAATATGGCCTCCAATACTACTATAGTATCTACTAGTAGCTTCTTGTTACTAGTAGCGATGGCCTCCAACCTACTTGCGATGGCCTCCACCTAATAGCGTCCTTGCACCAAGTAGACATTTGGGGACAATGTATAGTGGACACAACGAGAGTCTTGAGTCTTAGTTACCAGTTCCCCCCGTGCGCTTTTTGTGGCTAAGCAGAGATTTTTCCCTAATAAGTTTGGCTCTTTCAACTTTCAAGGTGCAGTATATAAATCATCCAACGGTGACCAAAAAGAAGAACTGGTACGTATTCAAGCATACTCACGTATGGGTCCCCCTCAGCATGGGAGGAAACATGGACACCGAAATGAAACCTCTTTTTTGATGAACGAGAAATTCACCGCTCAAAATGTTTGATGCATTTCAGCAAAACAGCAAGACCAAGAAGCCTTCAGCCATGTCCATGGTTCTGAATTTCTGAGCAAGTCTGATTGACCCACACCAGACACACGCTCCAAAATCAAGAAGAAGAGACTCACCCCCTCTCGTCCGTTGTCCTCTTTCCTGTGGTTCAACACCCAGGTGTCAACAGAAAAAGGACATATCATCCGAATACCATAGAAAACCAACATCCAAACATATCCAAATCATCCAAGTGACAGTAGACTGGGCAATTCATCTTCTGTCCCGACCTGGTCGCGGGAAAACGTCACGAAAAGGTCACGTCGTCACGTGATCTCGCGGGGAGCGGCGGAAGGCTTGGTATAAACATCGAGCCGTAGTCAATTCGAAAAGAAGCAGAATAGTCCATTCAGTTGATAAACCATTAAGCCATTCAATTGTTGTAATACAGTCAATTCAAACAATTGGCCAGGAATCAAGACTCATCGCCACCAACGTCCCAATCGCACAAATCGCACATTGGTTTCAAAGTGGACAGAGTTGTCATAAGCTGTCTTTGCCAACAGGATCGCACCTAAGCCTCAGCATGTCGAGTTCATGTGGTTTGGACTGTCCAGTCCCGCATACTTGGCACATCGAAAAGCCCACTCTGAGACGTGTGACCAGAAATCCACCAGGGGATAGCAATAGTCCTCATCGAAGTAGGGATCGTAGCACTTCTGGGAGTGTGTGCCGCAGCGGCAGGACTCCTCCTGGCACGGACCGAGCAGGCATAAGATGGCAGGCCGCCGGTGCCGACGAGGCGGAAATGGAGAGAGAGAGAGAGAGAGAGCGAGCTTCGGCCAGGTGGCATAAACTGAGGGCCTATTATGGCGTAATGTAGACGCTTGATTTATGAACATGAGGTTTATTACGATATATTGGCGATTGGGGGGGTGATGGATCAAGAGTCTAATAATGTTTCTTGGCGCGCAAAACAAGTAGAGACGAGATCGTCTCCATCAGCTTTGGATGTGAAGGAGGCTGTTCTGAACCACCTTGTGAAAGGGACTCATAGACCAACACCCCTGCGGCCCCAAATACACACCCATTCAAGTGACTAGCTGCGTGACTTGCTGGATGTGATGGACTTTTCCACTCTTGGAAGAGATGAGAGGAACATGACCCCCGTCATCCGAACAGGGTCAAGCTTTTGGATCCACTCCCTGAAAGGATCATGGAGGAACATGGCCCCTTGGATTACCATTTTCTGAATTCCAAACAGATACTGAAACAGGTGATTTACGCTGGTTTTGCGCTTCCATGAGTAGTGACTGGAAGTCCAACCCCTCAGGTGCGGATATCTGACCTGAGGTTGTGTGACAATTCAAAAAGGAATGTGGCCATAAGGATCTAGCTACAAGATCCTTGCTGTATCAGGGAGATTAAAGAAGACTATCCAGCGCTTGTGGGGTTTGACCCTACAAGCACTGGATATAGCCTGGATAGCTTTTGCTGATTCTTGAGTCAGCCTGAGGCCGTCCAAAGGCCCTTACACCCTCCAAGGCCTCATCCGAAACATCAAAAAGCACCATGGGGTTTTGTATCCCTAATAGTCTTGCTGCTGGCCTTTCCCACGCACTTCTCAGAGTACTTCTCAGGATATCCGGAGGCATTGTAGTCAGTGAGGTAGCCTCAGGAGCGGTCAACAAATATCAAAAACAGGAAGAAAGAGTCCACAGGAGGACTGGAACCTTGTACAACGTTAAGCCTTGAGTTAATTCATGTAGCCCTCCAAATGGTTCATGTGCAAGCGTCTTGTTTAAAGCTGTAACACGTACAATAATGTTGTTTCCATGTGTTCTTTTCTTTCAAGACCCTAAGTCTGTGCAGACTTTACGATTGATACTCTAAGTGCTCTTGTTCGCGGGAAGAGCCAAGAGCAAACGCACCCCTCTCTTTCTGGAATTCTAAGAAATGACTGGTTTCGCAAGATGTAAATGAACCTGTTTCGCAACTCGAGTCATGATAGGGGTGGCGCAGGTCCCAGTCGTCCCAGTCGTCCCAACTCAACTGCCTTATAAAGTGCGTTCCTGAAAGTTCGATGAGTCAGTAATTTTTGTTTAAATCATTCCATATCACCGTGTCATATGTTTTCAAAGGTACTCCGGAAGCAGGCGAACAGAGCAACAGGGTATGTCATATATCCTGGAACCACCACCGCCCCTGCGTGTTGTTACATAAAAATCTACTCGTTCAAAACACAGCGCTTCCGAGGCACAGCGCTTCTGCTCCGCGGTACACGTTACGGGACACTCCCAGGCCGATGGCATGCAGTACTCCTGGAGGACGCAGCAGGATCGCTTTGAGCAGATCCCAGTTGCACCTTCAAATGGTCAGACCTTCTAAACCCAACTCAATTCTAGCATAATCAAGCATCATCTAGCTGCTTTCTCAGCTAGTTGGAGCAGCGGTGGAGCAGCTCCACCCTCCACCCAGGCTCCTCTTCCCATCCCCATTCATCGGTCCATTTGCACATCTTTGCATTGGCACCACACTCGCAGGTCTCATCGAGGCCAGCACAGGTCTCTTGCACGGGCACCGAGTAGTCCTAAGCCACCAAGGTCCACTTCCCCATCTTCCCCCCTCCCTGCTAATCACTGGATCTACTAGGCCCTAGGCCTTGTCTTAGACCCTGATCTAGAATTGGTAGCCAGCTACGCTACGTAGCAGCGTGTGTGCTGCGTAGCTAAGGGGAAGCAAAGAATCGGCAGTCCTGCGGCAACATCTACGGAAATTGACGACAAAGCTCCAACCTACTAGCGATGACCTCCAACCTACTAGAGAGGGCCTCCTAGCGATGGCCTCCTGTTCAAGAATGTTCAAGGGGTCCTTGGCAACTCCTTGGCACTTAGTAATTTGCCCAGCAAGGAACTTGCAAGTTTCCAGCAAGGAACTAGCAGAAGGTGAAAAAATCAGGGACCACAAGATCCAGTGCTGATTCTTTTTTGGGGGGCACCCAACAAGTTAACAAGTGACTGGAGTGACTGGAGGTTCTGAGTACCCATTGGCATCCCTGAAATGCTCCAAATTGACCTTGTGGAGCTGGCATGAACTGGCACATGAATCTTCCCAAACCATCCACACAAACTATCTACACAAAGGGTAAATGGACGTAAATGGTACATGTATGTAACTATTCTATATATAATCCTATATAATTACATGGATGGTCTGGGCTAAAAAGAACTCTCGTGTTGGGGGTGCTGACAGGTACTGAGGCTTTCTCCCGGTCGATTGCTCCACGACTGCGCCTTCCTTCACTGCGCCAAGGATCCCACTCGCCTCCGGGGGGTTGGGGAGCGTCCGACTCTGGGGAGATGTAAAGTGGGAGCGTTCGGAGCTTTCGGACGCACCGGACGCACCTGGATCTTCCAACCACACCTGGATCTGGCCATCTGACCTTTTGAACCCGTGAAAAGTCAAGTAATCTTCATCAACGTTCTCTCAGCTGGGAACATCGAGGTACCTAGTGGCATACCGACCTCGTGCCATAGTTGACCGGACCAACATGAACGGGCAAAAAGCCTCAACGACCTTCAGAAGGTCCCAACCCACAACATCATAGGTTCACTTTGTCTCGGGAAAAAAAAAAACGGAAGAACGAGTACGTTGGTGTCGTCAACCCAATCGACGTATTTCGACATCATTTGCCTCACTGGCCACCTGAGGGTTGCTTTAAACATAATGGCCTCCTAGCACATCCTAGCACCAATGGTCATCCAAATATGGGGTGTCCAGCTAATTAACTTGATTACAGTCCTTTGACATTTGTCTGAGATCCTGACAACTTCTACTCTGACCAAACAAAGTACATCAATTCAGGGAAGACGATGGAACATCTGGCTCAGAATTGGCCGCCTTCAGGAGTGTAGGACACTGGGTAGCAATACTTCTGGTCCGCTGTGCAGGTCACTGGGCAGCCATAGAAGGTGGACTCGCAATAGGAGTAGCCGTCAAAAGAGCCTCAGGACCAGCCGAAAGTACGTAGTCTCAGTCTACTCGCTGCTCCTTGGGCAGCGGAGAAAATAGCAAACCCTCCTTGCGAACCTCCGCCAGAGACCTCTCTGCAAATGTCGGTTCGAGCATCCACCACGTTGGGAGGGCTTGGTGCAAAAACCAGCGTTTGGTGTTTATAATATGATGTAATATGTAGAAGTTGTCTTCTTCTTCTTTTTCTTCTTCTTCTAGAAGTGCTTAAGAGGAGAGTGAACATGAACATCACTTGGTTCGGGTTCTCAGATCATCAAAGGAGCAATCCCTCAGCTAACCCATCACCTGGTTGCTCCTGCAACTTGGACCTGAGGAGACTTTCGAAACCCAAGGCATAGTAGGGTAGGATTGCCGGAGAAATATAGATGGTGCGTTTCCTGAGGCTGATGAAAGAACTCTAGCTAGGAGAGGCCCCATGTCTCATTCAAAATTTGGACACGGTCTTCGTTCTTCTTGTCGTCCACTGGAGACCCAGAAAACTTGCCAGAACGCCAAACTGGCATGGTCTTTCCCCCGTTTTTGTTCGGGTCCGGCATCATTGACTCCTGACTCTACTATATATACCTTGGTCACAGATTCGATCGATCTACTTCTCCCTCGACGAAGCCACCACTCTCTCAAAACTCACCGAGAGACAGAGTTGGCTGTTGCTTCCACAGGGGCAATCTTCGTTGGCGGGATGGCACTGGTCCGCTCCTCCGAGCCAGTTGCCTCGATGGGTGACGTGCGTGCGGGTGCATGCGCACGGCTGCGCATGATGACACGGGATCGAGCCAGCTGGAAATCAACTGGTGCTAAGCCCCACAAAGAAGCCTCATGACAGAGAAACTAGAATCATCTGGGTCAGCATCTCGCAGTGTCCCAAAACATGTTTGGTATTGTTTAGTCTATCTGATAAACTCTATCTATAAGGCTCAATCAAACTATCAAACTCGGTTTGAGAGCCCAGCAGGATGTCCCACCCAACAAAATCTCGCTGCCATCAGATCAAAAACCGCTGCATGTGTTGTTTTACGCGATTCTGGGTCCTCGGTTAAAGCTCTGGGCTGTGGGTCGTTGGCCTTCCACTCTGAAACTTGAACAGAATCTGCTATTGGAGCAAACCTACATCTGCATTTACCAGACTGAAGTCGTCCAACTGGGGATACTTGCGGTTGTTCATGCTGACCAAACCTTGGACCTGCAAACATCAACTCCTCAGCTGGGAGGTCATTCTATGCATGAACATGGCAGCCATGTCCGCTTTCTGAGCTCTCGAGTCTCGGACGCAGCCGGTTCCGCAGCCGTAAGACCCCCCCACATGGATCCTGAACATGAACGATTGAATGGCTGGAGGCCAGCAGAGCGTCCGAACGCTACTATCATGAAACCCTGGAAGAGTCGATTGTTCCGTCCTGGTTGATCACTGCCATCATCTTCCTATTCATATCTTAGAAGCTGCATGGGTGCTTTCCAGAATTCATTCATCTTCACCAGCAGGTGCAAGTGAAAAACATTGAACATCTGCGGCATGGCGAGGACAGCGCGAGAGGACATCGAGAAACTCGCCTGAGGCGTCGTAGTCCGTGACCCAGCAGAGTTGCTGCTCAGAGGTGCAAACCTCTGGACACGTGTCCTCAGAACAGCAAAACACTGAGACAAACAAGTTGATCAAGCGGATCGCTTCGTTACATTACTCAACCCAACTCTTCTCTCACCAAAGCCCCACGCCGAACAGCGGTCTTTGGCCACGTGCGGAGAGGTCCATCCCCAAATATCTTTCAGAAGAAATCCAACACAGGCTTCGCCGCGGCTTCAGCCCGGCATTTGAAGGGTAGCTTTCCAGGCATTCGCCGGTGAGCCAGGGTGAGCATCTCTCACGGAAATCCCTGTTGTTCCCTTACTGCTTCGAATGCAACAATTACGGGTCAACAACCGAGGTGGTAGAGGAAGACTAACCGAACCCGAAATCCAGGCGTCATTTCCCTCACATTGTTGGATGGAGGCATCTAGGAAGATATTGGTGTTCATCTGCCGGTCCCGAAACATTGTGATGAAGGTGAAGGACTTTTAGGTCTTTGGTAAGGACTGGCAGTAGCAGTGGGTGATTTTGCCCCAAGGCGACACAACAGGGTGATTTTGCACCAAGGCGACACAACACACAAAATCAATCAAAATCATGTGCACATCAATTCAAACCTGTTTTGCCGGGTGAAGAAAACAGGTTGTTTGAGAAGTTGCATGCAGTTTCAACCCTGTGGTTCGAGCATGGTTTTGCAGGGTGCATCTCCGATTGTTGAAGGAAAAGACGGGGAACAGCGGTTACTCTTGCTACAATGATGAAAGTGGATGGCATGGCCCCTTGGATGACAATATTCCTCTACAAACAGGCGGTTGTCCACTTCCCTGTTAGTGACTTGCAGTGTATACTGTATACTATAGAAATCCTTTGAACATGTTGTTTCTTTTGTGTGCGTCTCTCTCTCTCTCTCTCTGCAACCTGGGTGTGCTGCTTTGCTCAACCAATCCTTTCACCTGTTGGATCGTGGATTCTGTGCGTCGAACAACAAAAAAGAAAACACACAGCGCCTTCCGCAACCTTCCAACACGGCTTCTGTCAGGTCTTCGTCAAACAAAAACACTCTGACTCTGAGCGGCGGTGAGACCCACGCAATAGGCGTCCCATCCATCGCCGCACTTCTTGGAGGTCTCGTTCTTGCAAATCACTGGGCAGTCCCAATCATCTGGGCCTCAGTCGCTGAAGCGCTCGCTTAACAAGCTTAACAAGCGCGAAGCGCGCTGAACAAGCACGCTTATGGATGGTTTGTTAAGATCTTTGTAGTCAAGGCCAACGTCCAAGAGTAACGGTGGCTCGATGACTGATCCAATGTGATGTAGAGGCCTTTAGGGGTTGATGACCCTTTCTGGGAGTGCACCCTTCCGTTTTTTCAAGTCCAAAATTAAGTCTTTTCCTGGTCATTGGCGCCACAAAACAAACTAAACCAAGTTTGACCACGATGTATCCATGCATCGTCGTTGGAGCTGCTGCACACCCGAAACAACGGTTGTTCAAGAATACGTTTCACCTTTGACCTTGGGCCAACTTACGGTTACTACAATAAAATATGCGGATTTTAAAATAGCCGAACAGGTATTTTAGTGTACCTCCGTGAAGGATCTGCTGGGGCCGCCCAGCCATTAAAACAGGCGGAAAAGACATGCAGAAAAGCACTTTTCCTAAATCATTTCACAACATGGCCTTCACCGGGCCTTGGCCGGTCCCACGTGGAGGCCTTCACCGGTCCCACGTGAAGGCCTTGGCCGGTCCTATGTGGAGGCCTTGTCTGGCCCCACGTGGAGGCCTTCACCGGTCGTATGTGGAGGCCTTGGCCGGTCCCACAT